CCCGGAGGGGAGGGCCGTTCCCCCCCCAGCCTAGCCGCAGAATCAGTAACCAAGCATATGATTAGTCAATGTTCTTTATGCCTGTACTAAAGGGTAAAGAATAGGTATGCTCCTATTTGGCACAATATAATTTGAACTAATTCATTTTGTCCATTTCATTATAATTTCTTGACAAGGAGAATGATGTTTTCTTATATATCATAGTCGTACCTTCATTAGCATATTTAGTTATTTTATAGATAAAATTACATAATTATTTTAATTGCCTATTAGTGACAGATAAGCAAATTGGAATTCATTGTTGTAATTGAAGTATTGCTTTTTATAAAATCTTAGTCCGTAGATTTAACTACTCCATGTGGGATCGATATCTAGGACTTCATTAGAGTCCTATATTACTTGAGAGATACATATACTTGAGTTGACAAATTCGACTTTAACATTATTGAATATTATATTTATACATCTTAATCAAATTAGACACATCTATAAAGTCGCGGTCAAGTTTTTGGTCGCGATCAAGTCTTTGGACGCCGTTGCTGGAAATTAAATCTTCTAGTAGCGCCATCAAATTCTTGTATTTGTCGATTTAAAAAAAGTCGGTCACGTACGCTGCGCTATGTACGATTTTGAGGTTATACTGAGGGTATAAGGGGGTTATATCCACGATATAATCCCTTGTAACCTTCATGTAACATTCTGTAATTTAACTGTAACCTACTAATAAATTCTTAATATATGATAACAGAAGCGCGAAATTTATTTGTAGGTTACAAGTATGTTACACTAGATTACATGGAGGTTATAAGGGGTTATAACACGAGTATAAGCCCCTTAAACCCTCTGTATAACCTCGAAATCATACGCAGCACTGCGTACGTTTATCGTACGCAAATTTTTTCTCTCTATTACACCCCACATACAACTCACACAAGAAAATAAAATCTAAGGGACTTCTCCCTAAAAAAAGAAAAATACAACTTACACCACCTATAAACCCAAAAGAGAAGAAAAATATTAATCCAAGTCATGTAAGCAAAATAAATGTAAATCTTTAGGTAAGTATTAGAAAAAATAGTAGAATTAAGATTAGCTCCAACTTTAGCAGCCTAGTTAGCAGCACCCTTGCCTTCTCTTTTAGCGTGCATCCAACTTATCTCCAAATTTTTAGAAAGAAAAGCAATCCTCTTCATTTACATAATAATGCTCCAATGGCATCTACTTTATTTCTGCAACAATTCCAGAGGATTAAAGAATTTGATTCTAAAATTACATGCCTTCAGCCAAACTTTTTGGCAACTATTAGTCCGAAAACAACAACATCAACTTCAGCATATAGAGATGATATAGGAATAAAATGAGTCGCAAATCAGAATATGATAGCGCCAAAATTGTCTCTGCAAATTCCACCAATAGAACCAATATTTTTTTTTCCAACTTCCTTTAACATTAATTTTGATAAAGGGAGCTATAGGCTTACACCATTTCAAAATGCAATTATTAAATCTGACATACCGAGATATAGGTAAATTTAAATGTGAAATAAACTCTACAAATTTGCTCCAAGGTTTACCTTTATAGTTATGTCATGATAAGCATTTAAGTATAAATTTAATTATTATAAAAAAGGTATCAACACTGTTAGGAACCATACCATTATGTTTAACATTGTTTCTAGCAATCCAAATGGACCATATAATCATAATAGCAATATTAAAGAAAAAATCATGTTCTTGTTGTTTCCAATCCTCACAAATCTCCTTAACATAATCAAAGCCACCATTTTTCATTTTTTTATTGAAGAATTAATAAATATTCTTCTAAACATCTTTTGCAAAGATGCACTTTATAAAAATATGAATAATAGATTCTTCATTTGACCTGCATAATAAGCAACAAGAGGGAATTTTAATTTTCTTAAGTTTCAAGATATCATTTGTGGGAATAATATCATGCAATACTCTCCACATAAAAAAGAGTGAGCATGTTTGACCCACTTATTCCAAATCCAAATCATGTCTTCTCCATGAAAAATTTGAAATGAATTAGCAAAGATTTAGAGAAACACTCTCACAGATTTCCTTTAATTTTAGAGCAATCCTCATCTTGGTTATTAATAGAAACATTTTTAATGAAATATGCATCAGTTTTATGTACAAATTGAAGCAATTTCCTCACATCCCAATGATTATCACACCACATATCCATAACTTTAATATTTTTATCATCAGGACCACCATAAAAATCGGCTAAAGAACCTTTACCCAGCCAATCATCATACCAGAAGGAGCAGCTTCCATTACCAACATCCCAATAGATTAAATTTTCAGTGTAACTGACAACTTTAAGCATTTCTTTCAAGATAAAAGAGTCATATTTCGAAACACTAGCAGCTAGAGGATGAGCACAGTTATAGTATTTAGCTTCCATCAAAGAGACCCAAATGGATATGCTCTTTCAAAATCTAAACCAAAGCTTCATGAAATTAATTTTCATAGTATCTGCCAAACTTCAAAAGCCTAAACCTCATTTATCCAGAGGTTTACATAGTTTATTCCAATTCTTCCAATGAATATATTTTTTGTCATTGTTATCCCAATAAAATGTTAAAAAAAAATTCAAGCTTCCTAATGACATTATTAGGCATTTTCATGATTTGCATTGAATAAAGAGGAAGAGAAGTGAGAATAATTTTAAGAATAGTAACTTTTCCACCAAATGAGAGAAATTTATTCTCCCATGAAATAATTCTCTAATGATCTTATCAAAAAGATTATAACAATAAAATGATTTTTCCTGTCTTTTCTATCATAGTTGAAACCCAAGTAAGATAGAGGTAGTTCACCTTTATTACAATTAGTAAAATCAAAAAACAAGTTCTTCTTACTAGCAAGAGTATGCTTGGAACAATAGAAAAAACACATAGATGTGAAAATTTATCCCAGTAGTGTCTTGAAAATGAGGAATGACTTCCCAAAGATATTCAATAGATCTCTTTTGAGCATTAGTAGAGATCACTAGATCATTAACATAACAAAGATGAGAAATATTGATCATACCTTTGTGCAAATAATTCAAGCGGGATACTTTTCAAATAAAGTATTAAGACATATGAACATAAACTCAAAAGTTATAATAAACAGTATAAGGGAAAGGCCACTTTGCTTAATACCTTTTGAAGCTTTAAATAAACCACAATTTTTACCAGTAATTAGCAGGGAATAGAAATTGTTATCAAGAATTTTGTTGATACGTAAGCAAAAATCCTCATTGAAACCCAGGGCCTTAAAAACATTAAGAATGAATTCTCCTCTAATGGTATCAAAAGTTTTCACAAAATCCATTTTAGAAATGACATTACCTCCTTTTTCTTTTTTATCAAGATCCAAAAGAAGTTCTTGCATGGTTTGTGCATTATCACAAATATTTCTACCTTTCACAAAAGCTAATTGATTATGATTGATAATCTTATGGAGTAAGGGTTGAATCATTTTCACCATAATTTTAGAAATAATTATAGATATCACAGTATTAAGGCTGATAGGTTTGTAAGCATTCCAA